AAGGACAGAGTGGCGGCAGCTGGACTAAGTTTCACGGTACAAGAACCCAAGGGCACACAACCATGCGTGAGACCATAATCTTTTCTATGAAGACGGTGAATGTACCGCATAAGCTCACTCTCACTTTTGTACTTTTGAAAGATTGAATGCCCAAGAAAGACAGATTTTCGCAGCATCTGCAAAGGCATTGCTCTCTTTTGTTCTGCGAGTTTTGAAAGGACACCTATCACAGGAAGTTGTAGCCCTGCTGCCTCCAAGAGAGACAATACATGGCCCTCGGTACTGGCCTCATCCACCGATATGGAGACGGTGCCATGACTATAATCAACAAAAATATTAATGCCTTTTTCCACGCAGCATGCCACGTAGTCTTCAGGCGTTATACCTTTTAAATTTACGGTGACGGTATCAAAAAATGTGCCATTGACCACTGTATGCCCTACAGACTCTAAACCAACGGAAAGTGTTTTGGCTTTATTGTGCATTTCGCTCGCAATTTCCTTCAACCCTCAGAGCCGTGATAAATGGCATAAAATGCCGCAACATTTGCTAGGAGAGCCTGTGAAGTACAAATATTGGATGTGGCGCGTTCCCTCTTAATACGTTGCTCCCGCGTCTGTAGCGCCATGCGTATGGCTGGGCAACCCGTCGAGTCTTTACTTATACCAATGACGCGACCCGGAATCAATCGCTTAAATTCCTCCTTGACAGCAAAAAATGCGGCGTGAAGCCCTCCAAACCCTAGTGGGGCACCAAAACGGTGGGCAGATCCCAAAACAACATCGGCTCCCATTTCTCCTGGAGGTTTGAGAAGAACAGAAGCCATCAAATCTGTCCCGCAACAACTGACGACACCATGTCGTTTTGCCTTCTCAAACAGTGTCGTAAAATCATGAAGCATCCCCATGGCATCTGGAGTTTGTATCAAAATTCCACAAAGTGAGGAATCGCTCCAATCAATCAAATTTGGATCACCAACAACGACCTTTACTTTAAGGGGCTCAGCCTTTGTTTCTACCATCTCTACG